GAGGACTCTTGCGACTGGTAGCGGCTCCATCTCAATGTCCTCCCCGTCTCTTGGAGTGTCGGGGCTCTTCGTTGTACTGGACCCCGAGCGGCGTCGTCTGAGTGAACGGTTGCGCGCTCTACGTCTCTCCGTCCTCCCCTTGATGAGTTTGCACTTACGGTTCAACTCTGTTATTGCCATCCTGAGGCAACAAAGGGTCGTGACTCCGGAGACGATCGTGAGCGCCAAAATCATCAGCGCCACTGGGTCGTTCCTTAGGACTCGTGCGAATCCGACAATGGCGTCCCATCCGCTTTTCGGCGTGTGTTGGGCCTCTCTTTGCGTCTTCTCCGTGATTTCCCAGATTGAGGCAGACGGGCGCAGGACTTTCTGTTCGTCGAGGGCATAGGATAGGCCGTAAATGAGACCTTCCAAATCTTCAACCTCTTCCTGTGTAATTTCGCCCTGTCTCTCCACGGTCTCGGCGTACGTCTTTATCTGCTGGACTTCCGCCATGAGTTCCTCATCATCCAAATAGTCTATCAGGGCTTGGGTGCCGGCCGCTGTGCCGGCTCCACCGAACATGCCGGTGGAGATCTTCAGGTACTTCGCCACCCGAGGGTGCGTTCGCTTGAGGTAACCGAATGCTCGGTGTACCTTGGGGATCCTGAAAATCCCCCTGCTTCCGAACGCCGAGGCAATCCGGATTGTCCGTCCAGCCAGTTTGGGCAGCAATTTCTTCGCGCCCTTAAGTATTACCTTCGCCGGACCCGCGCTTGACTCCGAAGAGTACAGCGCGATCCCGACAAAGATGACTGCGATGGCGGCGGCGATGGCGTAGCTTCTCATCTTGTGATTGCTTAAGTTTCTTCCTTGATGCTTTGACTTTCTCAAGTCGAGTGATTTCTTATTGAATTCTATTGGCCTTTTATAGTTGTTGGCCTGAACTTTGGAGGGGGGGAATTTTTTCCCCATCCCTAGTTGCTTCCAACGGGAATATATTGTGGATACTCCTCGTGATGAGCAACGGCGCTCCTTTCTTTATTTTCCCGTCCGCGTCACGCGGCGGAAGTGCCAGTATGACGGAACGAATTTTGTTGTCCCGCCCCATTTTGACTTCTTGAATCCTGGCGACTGGCCATTGGTTGCGCTTCATCTTTTCTTTTTCCAACAACACCAACTCTCCTTCTTTAACGTCGGGCTTGTCTTCTTGCCATTTATTTCGTTGTTGTTGTGAGGTGAGATATCGATTGGACCACGTCCTCCAAAACTGGTTCACGATGGCCTTTCGATGCTTCCATCTCTCCCTGAGGTCGGCGTGTTGCTGTAGATCCGTCTTGTCGAATCTATCTGGCCATGGCCTTAATTTTCTCCCGAGTACCAGGAGTGAAGGGGTTATAACGCCAAACGAGTCTGTTGATTCCTCGTGCAGTGGCCGATCATTGACTTGTCCTTCGATCTCTTTGC